AAAACCCCCAGTGCAAACAGCTTTATTTTGCTGAAGCCAATCATTACTGTACCAAACTTTTAATAAAAGGCTCAGCCTTATACAAAAGAGTCTGATAACTAATACCTATAACAATATACTGTATACAGCTTAACATACTTACACTGTTTATACTGTAACAGCGCCTTAACATGTACATCTGAGGCTGAGAACAGCCTATCAAAAGTAACCAGAATATAAAGTCTATTTAAAGCTAAAGGAGTCATCTATTGCAGTAATTAATGCTCTTCTCAGAGTGTGAGAGTCAGCCTTCCTTATAGCCTCCTGATAAAAGTCAGTATTGTATTTAGAAAAGCTGTGGTGTCTGCACCCCTTAGAAGAGGACAGGTCACAAAGGATCTCACCTTTTACATGGATGCCTGAAATTAAACTTAGCTCAGTACAACATAGCTGATTTAGGAAAATCCTCCAATTCAGCCCACTTTCCAGTTTAGCTATGCTGTCCTAGATTGTTCACGTCTTCTGCCTTCTCCAAACTCTTGACCCTTTTGTGAATAACCCCCATAAAATTAAAAGTTTTAGAAAGTTTCAGCAATTGCAGACTCAAATGGAAACATACTTTTTAATAACATTAAATTACAAAATGACTTGTGTAGCAATTATAAGTGCTGTGTTTATGTTTCAGCAAAAGTGGAATTTTCCTTTAAATGTTTTAGTACTTTGTGGTTTATTTACTAATTGAGGAGAATAATCACTTCAGCCAGTAAATCTTTGTTCATTTTGAATACCTAATCGTGTACAGGTGGTGAGAACCAGGAACCTTTGGCCTATGAAAAGGAGGTTGGTGATAGACTTGTCCAGATGCTTTGATTGTAGGTCTAAATGGGAAGCAGATATCTGTATAACACCAAGCATGTGCCACTGACTGCAGGTTCCATTTTTATTGGTGAAGTATCTGCACTCAGGGCCACCAGCCCAACATACTGTAGTTTTCTAGGACTTACTTGGTGTTCACATGCCCTCTACCCAGAAGCTCAGCAATGGAAACCTATATATTTTTCTTAGTACAAATGTAATTCCACTAGGTTATATTAGTTTTAAGGATTCTCATTTTTGAAAATAAGAATAATTAAATACAGAATATATTTTTACGCATTAAAGTCTAGAACAAGAACATATTCTTAAAATATTTATATTAAATACACAAAAAAGACCCCGAATATACATATATTTATAGATACATTCATTTCATGCTTGAAACAACCTAGATTTAAATCCAGATTAGTCATGCAGTATGCAATATTTGCACATGAAATGTATTAGAACAGTGCAGAGATGAACACGAATGCACAAAGTGCAGTACAGTGCAACCCATAGCAGCCAATCACAGTTTACCAGTTTAGTACAGTCAGATTATAAGATATGATAATTGATGGGAATACCTAAAAGTTACTTCACTTTGGGTGCTGCTCTCTGCCTTACTAAATAAACCTTTTTTGTGTTAACATGCAAATAAAGAAGAAGGGGGAAAAGTTTTAATAACCCTTGCAGTACGGCTACCCCCGTACTGCAAGGGTTAACTGCTCACTTTTGTTCAGGTGTTTTAAAAAAAGTTCTACTCACCAGAACTGCCCAGCGGACTCCCTGCTTCTCTGGTCACTGAAGCATTTCTCTTCCTCCTCAGCACAAATGGAATGTTCCCTCCACTTGTATAGAACGTTATGACACAAGTGTTCTTAGACCTCTACAGAGGAGGAGAAGAAAAGATGGAGGGACTTGTCTCAGAACAAGCCGACTTGAATGATTGGGATTATTGAGTGAGTATAACTTTTTTTAGCACCTAGACACAAACGACTAGTAAACCATTGCAGTACGTGCGTAGCTCCACTGCATAGGTTAATAAAATGTTTCCCCTGAGTTCTTCTTTGAAGTCAAACGGTAAAAATCAGTAAGCAAAATGCACATAACTACTAAATGGAATTTCCATCGTAAATTTTGTTAAACCTCATTTATCAAATATTTGGTGATCCTGTCAGTCTAAAAACATTACTCAGACAGAAAACAATATTCCACCTGCAGTAAATGTACTGCAGTTTCGTCATCTCTGCCAATCAGACCAAGAAAGTCACTAAAGATCGAAGAAGGGATCCTAGAGAGTGCTCAAGACCTCACTGGTTCCTGTAATGACGTTGCAAAGGCAAAGAGGATGGCAAATGAAAAAAAAATGTAGCTAGGGATGGAGTAGACTAATAAATAAAATATTTAAAAAATATGCACAGTGAGAGACAGAGCTTTCTATCTCCATGGTGCCATAGGAAATGTCATAACAATTATTTTGCTACATATTTCACTCACTAATTTTTACAGATGCATTAGTCTTAACACTAAAGTAGTTATTTGCTATAAATCCATCCCTTTTTGACATTGACATTTAAGGACTACAAACACACACTGCAAACAAAATAGCAAATTATGATAATTCAAAACCATTTAACTGTTGGTTATCAGGGTAAATGTTTAGTACAGACTTTAAAAGCAGATGAAAAGGATTATGGAAATGTCCTGTTTTTAAAAAAGCATCTTTTGGCAATCTCTATTTGCATTAAACTGCAATATAGTATTGAAAAGGAAATAATTTAGAGGCTGAAAATATTACCTTGTATTACATTTTAAAAACTAAGCCTAATGTGCTTATTGGAGTCTAATTAGAGAAAAGACGAATGCAGATTGGTAGTGCTAAAGAAGTGCACTTAGAGCTATGCTCTTCGTCTTGCTAAGTAAGTCTGTAAGAATACATTTATCTGTTCAATCCGAAAGTAGCTTCATTGGATATTTTTATATTGAAATGTCTTGTAGTTTGGGGACATCATTTGTGTGATTTATATAAATCTATGCAGCATCAAAGACAATATGTTTCATGCAAGGCAATTACGCAAGGGAATCTGAGTCTTATTTTTTATAATATGGTATCTGGGCTACCAGCATGATTAACACTGCCCAGTCTGTTTTTCACTCTGCCTATTTTGATATTAACGAAATTCCTGGTGACCTGCCAACAGAATGTTTGCGGATGCATTTCTTTTTAAAGGGTGACAAAGTGCATTGCCACTGCTGACAGATCAGCCTCCAATCAATCAGTCAGTGGTTGGCCATGCCTAGCTCTGCCTATTGCCAATGTCCCCAGCCAATAACTTAGTGATTGGCCATGCCAAGCTCTGCCAATTGGCCACCTCTTCTGCCAATAACTTAGTGGTTGGCCATGCCTAGCTCTACCAATTGTTTGTGTGTCCAGCCAATTAGTCAGTGGTGGGCCTTGCCTGGCTCTCCCTATTGACTTCATCATTGACGAAAATGAGACAAGAGGTACTTAAGAGTGCTAGATAAAATCTGTATTGAGTAGAAATTGTAGGATGCTTGCTTGAGAATATAAAGTTATCACAGAGTGCCACATGTACTGTATGTTTACAGTACATGAGGGTAAGTCAAAAGGAGTGCAAGTATTCCACTCAATTGGAATAGGCAGTGCCTGTGTCTGAAAGAACGGACTATACCACTGCAATCATTCTATAGAGCCTTCAATAACATTCCAACTTCATAAATATTGCCGTGGTATATTACATTTCTTTAGACACTGCCACTGACTGAGTGGAGTTCTCGTGTTCCGTTTGTTTTGACCTCACATTTTTTTATTTTAAGTAGAACTATGGCATCCCACAAAAAAATGCACTGCAGTATTCCTGCACTTAAAATTTCTCTTAGCCCCCTGCAAATTCCCACATATACGCAATGAGCCTGCCAGTAAAGACCACTGAATACAGCTTCCTGTCCTGGTGTGGCAGCATTGCAGTGCTGCTCCTGAATTCAAAGCAGAGTTGTCACTCTCGTGTAAACTGTTCCAGCTTGCACTAGAGTGCAATAACAAATACTGCAGGAGGCATGGCTATCAGCATTGTCACTGCTGATTTACAAGGCTGTAATTTGTCAATCAACATCTGACAACATGTAGATCAGAACAGGAAGGTGGGTAAAGGAAGCTTTTTGTTTATGAGCTTTGTGCATCACATAGTAACTAGATTCAGGACTTGTTTAGACTGTCATGCAGGTGCCCTTAATAAGGCAATGTGGAGAGCAATAAGTATGTCAAAAATCTAGGTTAGCCAGAAGTACTTTAGTGTTTGCCTTTTAAAAAAAAATTATTCCTCTGCTTAAAATAGACAGATAACAGATACCAGAGACCCCTGACTGTTGCTTTTTACTGGACTATTACAAAGAAGTAAACCACTGGTATCCTGGCACACACTTATAAATGAGACAGTTAGAGTCTGTTGTAGCAAAATCTGTGAGTGCATGTAAAGCAGATGTTTTTATTAAATACCTCATAAAGTATTAATACTCATTCAGCACTTCCAAGATGTTTGATATTAATACCTCTGCAAAGTAGAAAACTTGTTATACCACAGGGAGGGAAATGCACAAACCAGTGCTCTCTTTCCTGACACAAGCTCATAAATGTTTAACTTTACTATGAAACACATTATTAATTCATACTAAATCCTATTGAACATGATAATGTTTTTCACACTCTAATTTAAATTTCAACAATATACAGTTTTTCAGCTACATAAAGTAAAATGACTGCAGCTGGAACATATAAAAAGAAAATAAATCCTTTATTGCTTGAATTCTGTGAGTTCTACAGAGGTATACAGAGGCATGTATGTTCTTTATGTACAGATATTCCATTATTTTTTTTTGGTGTGTTTTTGAAGAAAACTGGAAACATTGCAGATCATGTACGATGTAAGCGATGTAAAACACCAGTACACCAGTAAATGGTTAACGCGTTTCTGGGGCACGCCCCCTTCATCAGAACCAATGCATTGGTTCTGATGAAGGGGGCGTGCCCCAGAAACGCGTTAACCATTTATCAATACAGGGATCGAGGTTACTGATGTTTTACATCGCTCCAGATTCTCCCTATATATATATATAATACTATATTGCCAAAAATATTGGGACACCCCTCCAAATCATTGGATTCAGACGTTCCTATCACCTTCATGGCCACTGGTGTATAAAATCAAGCACCTAGGCATTCAGACTGCTTCTGCAAACATTTATGAAAGAATGTGTCGCTCTCAGGAGCTCAGTGAATTCAAGTGTGGTACTGTGATAGGTTGCCACCTGTGCAATAAGGCCATCCATGAAATTTCCTTGCTATTAAATATTCCACGGTCATCTGTTAGTGGTATTATAACAAAGCGGAAGCAACTGGGAACAACAGCAACTCAGCCACAAAGTGGTAAACCATGTAAAATGACAGAGCGTGGTCAGCGCATGCTGAAGCACACAGAAGTCCCCAACTGTCTGTAGAGTCAATAGCTACAGACCTCCAAACTTCCTGTGGCCTTCAGATTGTCACAGCAACAGTGCATAGAGAGCTTCATGGAATGGGTTTCCATGGCCAAGCAGCTACATCCAAGCCTTACATCACCAAGTGCTGTTCCAACATGACTGCACACCAGTGGACAAAGCAAGGTCCATAAATACATAGATGAGTTTTTGGTGGAGGAACTTGACTGGCCTGCACAGAGTCCGGACCTCAACCCAATAGAACACCTTTGGGAAGAATTAGAGCGGAGACTGCGAGCCAGGCCTTCTCATCCAACATCAGTACCTGACCTCACAAATGCGCTTCTGGAAGGATGGTCAAACATTCCCATAGACACACTCCTAAACCTACAGACTATGCCCGGATGCCATTAACCACCTTCCGTCCATGGCCGTTCGTGAACGGCCGGACGGAAGTCTGCTCAGAGCGGGTGGGCGTCTTAAGACGTCCTGCCCCTCCCCCCCTCTCGTGCGCGCGCTGAGCGCCGCACACGAGAGGGAAAACTGTTAGCATGTAAACAGCCAGTGATGGCTGTTTACATACAAGCGATCAGGCGTCTCTAGAGACGCCCGATTGCTTGCACGATCTGCGTGTGTGCGCGCCCCACCTGTGTCCCGTCGCCGCTGCCGGTCCCGTGATCCGATGTCCGCTGTGGCCGGTGCGGCTGGGACCGGCACGGCGACGCTCTAACAGGAGATCAAAGGGAGATCATTACTTGATCATCCCTTTGATCTCTCTTCCTGTCCCCGAATGCAGGAAGTGATGTATATTACATCACTTCCTGCATTCAGTGTCACTCTCCGGTGCAGAACACCGGAGAGAAGCTGATGGAGCAGATCTCTGCTTCATCAGCTTCTCTGGGGGTCCCTAGGTGACATCAGAGGTCTTGGAGACCCCTGATGTCTCCATAAAGAGGACCTGTTTGGTGAACTGGCTATTACATAGGGGATTCCTTAGTCCCCTATGTTATAGCAATAAAGTTAAGTAAAAAAAAAAAAAAATTACAGCATTAAAAAAAATAAAGAAGCTAAAAAAAATTTAAAAAAATAACACAAAAAATGTTTAAAAGTCCCCCGCCCCCCACATACACACGCAAACATGCGTCGGGTGCGCCTATGTACGAAACCGACGATTGCGCCCATTATGCAGCACATGTTACATATCGCCGCGAACGTCGCAGTGAGAACAATAATTCTAGGGCCATCAATCACTGATAACACTAAACTGATGAGCGGTAAAAGCGTTTAAAGCGTCGCCTATGGCCAATTTTGGCTGCGGTCGTTTTCTGCGATTTCGCGGGCGTGCGCAATTTTAAAGGTTGACATGTTTAGTGTCTATTTACCCGACGTGACCCCGTCTTTTATATTGTACCAAAAAATTGGGGTAAAAATAAATGTTTAATAAAATTTTATAGGGAAACATGTTTTTTTTCAAAATTTATGGTAATTTTTTTTTATATAGTAAAAAATAAAAACCCCATTGGTGAATAAAAGCCACCAAAAGAAAGCTCTATCTGTCCCCAAAAAATGGTATGAAAATCGTTTCAGTAAAGTGTTGCATGACAGAATAAACATCAGTCAAAGTACCGCAGCGCTGAATACTGAAAAATGGCCTGGCCAGGAAGGGGGTGAAACACTATGGCCTTTAAGTGGTTAAAGTTCATGTGCGTGTAAAGGCAGGCGTCCCAATACTTTTGGCAATATAATGTGTATAGATATAGATATATGATTTGCTAAATAAATCACTCATTGCTAAATGAGTTGCTAAAGAAATCACTCGTTTTACAGATGAGCCCCATCCTATTCCATGCTAAATGGGATTCCACTTTTTATAAGATATTAGCAAAAGTGTGCCCATTCAAAAATGGGAAAGGTGGAAAATATTACAAATAATGTTAAAGAACTGTTGTAGTGGGTACGATGAGGGTAGGAGAGGAGGACTGAGGGAATGATGGCATGTGAGAGGAGTTCGAAGGGCATTATGGAAGGCATTATGTACAGAAAATGAGTGTGAAGGGTATGGCGGTTGGGGTAACAAATAGATGGGGAGTGCAAAAGGCATTACAGCAGACATTCTGCACAGGCGAGGCGTGCGAAGGGCATTATGGCAGACAGTATGTGCAGGAGAGGAGTTCGGAGAGCATTATGGACGACAGTGTGAGCAGCTGATGAGTGCACAGGGTTTGAGGGTGAGCAGTATGTGCAGAAGAGGAGTGTGGAGGGCATTATGGTAGATAGAATGTGCAAATGAAGAGTGCAGAGGGTATTACTGCAGGAAGTATGTGCTGGAGAGGAGTGCAGAGGGTATGTGGGTGGGCAGTAGGTGCAGGAGAGGTGTGTGGAGAGTAAGAACATGGGCAGTATGTGCAGGAGAGGAGTTGGGAGGAAATGACAGTGGGCAGTATGTGCAGGAGAGGAGTTGGGAGGAAATAACAGTGGACTGTATGTGCAGGAGAGTAGTGGGAAAGGTATGAGAGCAGGCAATATGTGAAGGAGAGACGTGGGGAAGATATGGCGATTAGCAGTATGAAAGAAATATGAAAACATAAAATTTTCAATAAAATTCATGAAAGGCAACTGTTCCTAGGTATGCTTTTTAAAAAGTTACATATGTAATTCTAAACAATATTTCCCTTAAAACAGATTATGCAATTATTTTTCTGATGTGGCTAGTAAAGTGTAGACATAAATAAATCATTTGAATGCCTCTTAGTTACACATGTATCAGTAAATATATTCATGTCTTAAACATTACCGAAAGGCTAATAATTTAGGTCATATGGCTTTTATCATAATTAGAGATGGATAACCTGATACTGAATGGCTTATAGTTACATCAGTTGTACTGATGCGTGGCTTGAGGGGACATATATGCTAAGTATACTGCTGTCAATGTGCTTTGCAGCAAATGTTCTATCAAAATTGGGTTAAACTCATATAAGATGTATGATTCATTATAATGTGTCTGAAGCGAAGCTGACCTAAAAACATGTTCTCATTTGCTGGAAAATTGGGCCAAAAGGGATCTGAATCTTGTCAATTTGTGAGGCTATGGCACACACTTATTCAGCACTCTTAAGCCATCTTCAGCATTTAAGGCAGAGCTTCTGGCAAATGTCAAATCCTCCATTTAGTTCACACATCTATCCAATAAATCCAAATGCTTAGTCTACGATTTGGACTGTACCGTGCGTGAAATGACCCTGTTAAACCAAATTTCAATCATTCTTTGCACAGAACTAGGCAGAACAGGGGGACTGAGAAAAGTGTATATTTGCACCTCTGACAGTGTCGTGGTTATACACCGGAACAGATTTGGAAAATATATGGGCGACATACAGAGTCCAGCCAAGGTTTAGGAATATTTTAAGAAGTCAGGCTGAGGATACATAGTAATAATTGCACACAATGCAAACAGAGATAATGAAGTCTTCATTCTTGATGCAAAGTAGCTGTTAATGTTTGGAGCCCTAACAGTGCCAAAGATTAGCTTTTCAGAAAGAAAAATGAGATTACAAACATACAGCATCAATTACACCCATTTGAGAAAAGGTTTCTTTTTTTTACTAGTGTTCCTCTTTAAATCTAAACAAAACAGTCAAAACAAAACCTACAAGGACAATACAGATACTGTATATAAGCATAGGATTATTCTATTATTGATATACTATATATTGAATAATGACATTTTGATGTACATCTCACATAAACTCATTCCATTTGATCAGTCAGTGATCATGGCAATAAAAGGTAGATTAAATAATACATTCAAAATATAGCATCAAAGTGACACATTGGCCAGTGTATAAGCTGTTATGGGTCACCTAATACTAAATCAGTAGATCAGTCAAAGCTTGCTGTACCAAATTATATTTTTCAAGGTTCAATACTTTACCTTTCTCTTGGTGCAAGATGCATAATGACATAAATATAAAATTCAACTGCAGAACAAAACCCCTGGCACTTGCACCAACACAGTAAATGCAACTAGTTACAGTTCATCCATTTCAAGATATGTATTTAATCCATTGGCAGTAGTTCTTTGATCAGAAGTCCTTGACAGTTGTGGCTGCAAAGTGTCCACTGGATGACATTGGTACTGTGTACTTTCAAGATTCAGAGGTATGTTTGGATCTGTTCTGGGATCTTTACGATCATAATACAGAGCCCACAACAAGGTTATAGTGAGAATCATTGCTAGAATCTGGGTAACGCCAATAGAAATTCCCAGAAACCGTAACACTTGCAGCTGTTTTGTTCCTCTTAGGAAGCTGTACATTTTCCTGCTGCAGCCCTGGAATAAACCAGACAAAAAAGCTTAATTATACAATCATAAGACAGTCTTCCAACCACTGCACATATGTAAAAAAGTGAAGTCAACTTAGCTGCTAACAAACTATAAAAAGGAGGATAAATCACAATGTATGCAGACATTGCACAAATAATCACCCTCCCCAACATAGACGGTATGCAGAAGATGGACTGCAGCTTACATAAATGACCGTTTTCATAATTTTAACAGTGAACAATGGGAAATAGGTCTTCACAGAAAAGGTACACAAATATAAAATATATTGGTTTCCATATAGAATGGGAATGTAAACATAAATTGACAGGAATACTCCACCCCTTAGTTGAAATCAAATGACCCTTCATGCTGTACAGGGCAACAAGCCCTATGTGAATGAAGCCATACCCTCACTTTCTGTCCTGCTGACTGTTTCCAGACAAAGTGAGAGAAAATGTGCAACAGTGACACAGACAGAAATAAAAATCTCATAGGGGTTCTCGCCTTCCCCATTCTACTAAAGAAAAACATTTTTATTTCTGTCTGTGTTGCTCTTGGAGAGTTTCCCTCACTTAAGGTCTAGGTAAAATGGTGTCAGCAGGAGAGGAAGTGAGTACAAATCTGGAAGTGTTGTGATTTTCCCCCACTCTATCCAAAACTAAGAAGAAAAGTTTTGGCTGGACATACGCTTGAAAAATATTTTTGTGGTCTAACTTTTGTAAATGCTTTATTGGCTAATTATTGCAAAGCCTAGCTCCAGAGCAGAGTCTCTGACAGGTTTTTGTTGCTAATGCATAGGTAGGCTATCACAGAGACATCAACATAAAGACTCCATTTTTTAAGAGAAGGGAAGGGTTAGAACCCATGCCAGGATTGTGTCACTAATGGTATCATCCTGGCTCAATTACATCCTTTTCTAAATTTCTTTTCCTGATGTTACAGAGATGGAATAGTAAGGGAAATTTCCCCAATGGGGGTCATAGATAGCAATAGCACGTGACAAAATTTAACAACCTCCTATTCCAAAACCAAAATAAAAATGCCTGTAGCTTGGTTTTAAGTATCTTAGCAAAAATGTCAATCCTAATATATGTTTTATTTTACATATTCTAATATTCGGTGTCATTTAGATTGGTTCTGCTTGCCACTACAATGCAGTAGAAGCATATAAATGTGACTGGTGGTGTCAACAAAATCTGGCAACCAAAAGAAATCAAATCATGTGTTCTCCTAGGGGATTCCTAAAGTAGGTGACCCCATTGCCTATGTATCAATTAAATACACAATACTTTTAGAGGTATGGTGTAGACCCTCTAAATATCTCAGCCTAACAAAATCTAGAGAACATTGTGTAAAATACATGAAACTGATTTTCAATGTTTCTAATATAGTACAAATACATAAGGTGCTTAATTTATGAAGAAAAATATGAAGCAGTGAAATGTCCCCATGTATGTATTCTAAGCAGTAAGAAGCCATAAGGGATATGATTGGAACACTTCAAATATTAAAGGGATGCAGCAAAGGCTGAAGAATCTTGTTTGTAAACGAACAGAAAGACCTAAGCTTTCACAGCTGTGCCAGAAATAGATTTTGTATATTAGTTCCATTCTTCTATTATCCCATAAAGTCACTGCTGCAAGGAATCTAGATACCTTATTGTATTATAAATTTGAAAGTGTCACCTATTTGTTTGCAGCTTGGAATATATAGGATATAAACACGCAAATGTTTTTAATCCACATCGCCTCAAAGTATTACATTTCTGCCATTGTAATATGCTTGAGATTTTTGTTGTCTTATCTATAATTAGATCTTATACTCACAGAGGAGTGTACTACAACATAATTTCTTGCATTCTCAAGTGTAACTGCTATTGCTAATAAAGCTGAAGAAACAAACTGCGAGATATCTGAAACCCTGTTCATGCAACTGAAAAGATAATTAGCTAGAGGCTTTAGTGCAACAGTGCAGCTACAGCCTGTCTGAAAACTAAAGCCATAAGCAGAACCGACACAGTGCTACACAGAAATTCTAGCCACATACATTTGATAGCAATTAGTTATATAACACAATCTGTGTGTGCATTTTTTTTTGCTATCATTCATTTTTATAGTGATGTGAAACCCACCAGGCATTCAATGGTCCTACATTAGTGGAAAAATTGTGGGTTACACCAGCCCAAGAATGTTTTTTTGCAGTAGGTGTCCATAAATGCCCACTGACATGACAATCATGTTACCTTCCTACTAAAATTTGCTACATTATGTAATATTCATCTGTCTATGGGATAACTAAAGTGAGCCTCTGGCAGTGGTACAGTGCACACGCTGTATCCAGCTTTTGACATGTTCTGCTATTAGTATAGCAGGAAAGCTGTGGTCTCAGGGGGGCTGTGCAGGATCTGTGGTGGGCTCTGCAGGGTCTCAGGGGGGCTTTGTAGGATCTGTGGTGAGTTTTGCGATGTATATGGTGGGCAGAGCCCACAATAGATCTTGCACAGCCCCCCGAGACCCTGCAGAGCCCCCCACAGATCCTGCACAGCCCCCCTGAGGCTCTGCAGGGTCTTAGGGGGGCTGTGCAGGATCCGTAATGGGCTCTGCCCACCATAGACCCTGAAGAGCCCACCACAGATCCTGCAAAGCCCTCCTGGGACCCGGCAAAGCCCCCCACAGATCCTGCAGAAACCCCGAGACCTGGCAGTCTGCCAGATCTCAGGGGGGCTGTACATGATCTGTGGTGGGCTTTGCAGGCTGCAGAGTCCCCTACGGATCCTGCAAAGCCCACAACAGATAATGCACAGCCCCCCTGATACCCTGCAGGATTTCAGGGGGGCTGTGCATGATCTGTGGGGGCTTTGCAAGCTGCAGAGCCCCCTACGGATCCAGCAAAGTCCCTCACAGATCCTGCAGAGACCCCCTGAGACCTTTCAGTCTGCTGGATCTCAGGGGGGCTGTGCAAGATCTGTGGTTGGCTTTGCAGGCTGCAGAGCCCTCTACGGATCCTGCAAAGCCACCCAAAGATCCTGCAGAGACCCCCTGAGATCCTGCAATCTGCCTCCCGCCTCCTCCATCACGGTCTCTTCTCTTGCCTCCTCCGTTGTAGTCTTCGGCCCGCCTCTGTCCTTCCTTCTGGAGGATGGCTACTTTTGTTCCCCATGGTGTGTGTGTGTGTTGTGTGCTCCAAGCTCGCTCCCATGATAGATTATGTTCTCATGGTTAGTTTACTAATTTGTATTGAAATGCTATTTCGGATTCGGAGGAAACCGTACATGTAAAGAAAAGAATGCTCGGCGGCCATATCATCATCTCGAAGGCGGGGCACATGACGTCGTGGCAACATCACACGTCTGTTGGGGCGCCATCATCTTGGTGTAGAGCTTGGTGTACACCAAGATAGTGGCGTCTATGCCATCATGTGAGGTCATGCACCCCACATCCAAGATGGCAGCACGCAAGCGCAGATCGCGCCAATGGCCAATATGGCAGCCGAGCGTTCTGTTAAGTTATTATGTGCCTGAATATGTTTTTCATATATTACGGCATATAATATTTTGTTTATTCAGATGAACCACTGAATCAACGGAATTTAGTTGATTTGCAGGTTCGTCCAAATGCGAATGCTTAAGTCTAGTGTCAGCACCAATTCAGAGATAATTTGTGTATCTACAGCTGAGTGATACACAAATAAGCTAAATTTTTGTTAATAGTTAAAGTACTTGAATGCATTTTTAAGATTTAACTTATGAGTTTAGTGTCACTTTGAGCATGTTTATATTTTTAAAAAGCAGTAAATGACCTTTAATAAACCTCCAAACTGCTCTGAAAAATGATCCATCACTTTTTGACATTGTCAAAGCTTGCTCCACCCTTCCTTCTTCCTCCACATTCCTATTGACCAAAAAGGCAAGTCAATAGGATGCCATAGAGATGTGCGATAGTAGTGTGTAGGAGGTGCAAGTGAGAAACCAAGCTTTGACACTACCACTATTTCCATCAGAAAGGCAAGGCATTTTAGCATAATGGTGATGCTCGGGGGCTGTAGCAGGTATCTAGGTGCCTGCGCTTTATGACTTTGAGCAGTTTTTTATTTTATTTTGGTGACCAAGTTGCAATCCAATGGGCTGCTTTTAAAACTAATAATGGTTTGCTTTGGTAATTGTGTATGCACACAATTTAGGTGTTTTTAGAAAACATGCAAACAAATCCAACTTGCGTGTATTTTCTAATCAGTTTACTGAATGTCATTGTGTTTGGAATGTTTTTGGAAACAAATACAGTTGGTCTCCCATCTTGCACTTTAAATTTTTATAAGGGGGAAAAAAGGGGAAACGTATTCCCTTTTTGTAAGCACTAGAATGTTATGCTGGATACATAGACAAAAAATTGCAAGTTTATTTTACGCACAAGATGAAACAATTCTATTGGCTGTGATGGAGAACATTACATACAACACACACATCTCTAGACCGGTTATCTATGACCGGTTTTATAATTTCCTCATCCAATTTTTACCAGGGGACAGGCTGGACTGGAAAATTGGGGGAAAAAAGTAAAGAAACCCAAATTTAAGAAAAGAGTTGTTTTTTAGATTAGGAATACAGTGGTGAAATGTGTAATTTTGCTGTGATGGTTAACTTTAAGGTACAAAAAAAAGGGAACCTTTTTGCAGCTGTCATTTTTTTTAACTGTTTGCCAGCATCCTACTGCCCCGACTACTGGCAACTGAGTAAACTTTGTTAAATATTTGTGCATTTAGGAAGAAACCTAGCCTGGAAAGGTCTTTGTGGTAGGTGTATTCCTCTATGAAGCCAGAAGACCTACAAGAACGCTTACAAGCAATGAAGCTTGCACCGCAAGCTTAAGGATAATTCCAGGCAAACAGCTAAATACACATATTTGGAGCTGTTTTACTTGCCAAACATTTTGACATTTTTTCTAGTCAATCCTGTTATATGCACATCCCTACCAGACAGCAAAGCCAGGTTAGTAGCCACACTATTCTTC